AGTTTTAGGTTTTTCTGAACCTTTTCCAAACACTCTGTTTCCCTCTGATTTCTTGAACTTCTTGAGGGATTGAAGTAAAATAATAGGAAAAGAGCTTGTGATGAATTATCATAAAAATCATGACAGATGTTATATGAAGGAAAAGAATTTAGAGCTTTGTGCACACATAGTATTGATTAAATATGTATTTCATGCTCTTGGTCTTTCCACGGGTCATATCATTTTCTGAATACTGAAGGGCTATTTATTCCACAATGGGCACTTACTTTAGAACTAAAAAGGTAGTGATGAACAAGGCACTCATGTGTTGGAGTTTGTATTCAGGTGAAGGAGAAGAGAAGCAAGCAACTGAATACACACATAAAAACAGATTAAAGATTTGGGTAAATATTATTCAGGAAGTAAACAGCATCCTCTTGTAATGAATTACTGAGAGGACTGACTAGGTGAGTCTGGGTAGGAGAATTGTCTCATACAGAATGGCCTTTGAAATGCATCTTGAAGAATGCAAAGAAGTTGATCATGTTGGGAAGAAAGGGAGGATGAAAGATAAAAATTGGGACAAGGGGACAGTAAACTAAAAGACCCAAAGAAAGCAAGATCTTAATATGATCATGGAGCTTAACATGAACCAGTGTGACAGGGTCCAGTGAGTAAGGCAGACGGTGGACTAGGCTGCACGACAGAGCCTGAGTCAGGTAATAAAGCACATTAGAAGATGAATAAGGAACTTGGTTTTGCTTGATGCCTACTGAAAACCACTGAACTGAAAACCATTAAGCAGGTTTTAAACAGATCTTCTGAGCAAGAAGTGAGTTCAAGTTGGGTGTGCATGGTGATAAGATATAACATAGTAGAAATTCCTAGTCATTGCTAAGGATGCAGCTACAAATGTTGAGTCACTAGAACACTTGATGTGGAGATGGGTGAAATTAGGATATACTTCAAGTTAGAATCAATTAACTTATTATATTTTGTATGGATCAAATACGGTACCTAAATACTCAGGCTTAGTACATATTACCTGTGTACTAATGCTTAGATGAATAAATTAAATTCTACCTCAACACTGAAATGGCATTCATTTATTTTGTCCTAAATAATTTTCATTACTGAAATTTGAGACACTTTTCTCTATATTTAGAGTTCCTAGATTTGTACAAAGAAAAGAAGAGCTTAGAAAGTAGAGCACAGTAAAATCAGTTATCAATATTTCATTGAGTTTATAGTCAACCGTCCTTCTTCTCAAAGTATTTTGTTAGAATACTTTATTATATATAATTTATATCTAAAAGCTATAAAGCATTTAGTAAGTACAATTCAATGACTTTTAATAGATAATATGGAAACCCATGAAACCACCACTATAAACAAGAAATATTGTATTTCCATCACCTGCAGTGTTTATTTGTACATCTTTGAACATGAAAACCCAAACAAAAATACTATATGTGTATAAATAGTATGGTGAATCTCAATTATATACATACTGAGTTTCAAAGTCACAAAACCATCTGCCTTTCCATCACAATATTCCCTCCACCAGCCTACATTCTCTGCACCCTGAATATGTATATATATATATTGTTTCCTTACCTTATTTATCTTTTATTTTTCTTCTATGATTCAAATTATAGAGCTACTTTTCACCTGTATGAACAGGATCAGCACAGTGGCACCCTCTTCCTTCCTCTCTCTATCACCTTAGTGGTGACAGTGGGGTAGGTAATGTCAAGGAAGGAATAGTTTCATTTATTCATATATGAACAATGTGTCTCTTAAGAACTGAATTGTACTCTTCCCTCACATTTCTATGTTAACATTTTAACACTTGGCTTGGGTTTATTTGGAGATGGGACCTTAAAGAGGTAATTAACGTCAGTGAAGTCTTAAGAATGGGACCTTAATCAACGAGACTAATGTCCTTATGATAAGAGGAGCACACTCTCACAGAGAAAAGGCTATATATGGGCACATTGAGAAGGCAGTTACTTGCAATCCAAAGAAAGGGCACTCAGGAAAAACCAACCTTGCTGATATTTCTACACTCTGAAACTACACTGTTGAAGCCAACCAGTCTATGATATTTTGCTATGATAGCCCCAGAGCACAAAGTGCCTAATCTAGTGTGTAACATTTAGCTGCCCCTACTGCACTGTAGCAATTGCTAGCCAACTATACTTGAGAAAAATACAGAAAGGATATAGAGAGAAGGAAGCAAAGTATAACCAAGGATATTATATATCTTCTCTTTCATGGTATTCAATTTAATGAAGAATTATCGAACATATATTTTTATTGAAATTACAATAGACTATACAGTGGAAATGGACCAGTGGAAAAACATTTTGTTCCCATAGGGGGGAACTTTTGTATAACAGGATGAACAATATATGACAAAAGAGTGGGAAAATGCAAAAGCAAAACTTGCATAAGGCACAAAGGAAGCACATGCAAGAAAGTGACAGGCTCCACTGGGGTTTTCCAGGGAAAACTTCTTGAAAATATTCTATTAGGTTTAAATTTTATTTATGTATTTATTTATGTATTTATTATTCTCTTTTTAAGACAGTGTCTCGCTGTGCAGTTCAGGCTGACCTTGAGCTCACTTGGTAGCCCACGCTGGTCTCAAACTCATGACAACCTTCCTGCCTCAGCCTCTCGAGTGCTGGGGTTACAGCCATGTGCCACCTCTCCTGGTGGTTCAAATTTAAAAATAGCGAAGAATTCACCATGCATAGAGATGAAAACCACTTCAGGAATATCAAAGCATCAGATTTGAGGGATATTAAAGAGTGTTCCAGGAACCTTTAATATTCTACTAGCAATAGACCATTACTTTCATGTGTTATGTGTGTGTAGTGTATTTTTATTCTTCCATGATGACATGTTTCCAAGGGGGAAACATTCTATGAAGCAAGTGGATTTGTTTAGGACCACTCAAATAATTTCACAGTGACTACCAGTGTGAAAGACTAATCATATTATTTGCTCACTGTTATTCCCATTCTTATTTAAAGAAAAATGTTTTAAAAATTCTTATTGCAAAGTACATTTTTAGGTAAAATATTGGTGGTTCTTTCTCTCATGTTTGGAAGCAAAGTATAGAAACCTGTGTATGGTATTCTAAATATATTTCCTTTAATTTCCTCCTCCCATTTCCACGAAGTTCATCTTCATGTTTCTTATCATCAGTCTTTTATTTTACTCTTTAATAATTACTCTTTTTATTTTACCTTATCTTTTTATTTTACTCTTTTATTTTACTCTTTTACTTTACTCTTTTAATAATCTTTTATTTTACTCTTTGAAATATGTACTTTGGGTTTCCTATAGAAATAATCTTTTATTTTACTCTTTGAAATATGTACTTTGGGTTTCCTATAGAAGAGAAGCTATGAAATATTTAACATTCTGTGTATAACGATTTCG